AAACGAACAGGACAGGTTCATTGGTTCAAGGAAGGAAGCTGGTTAATAACCCATTGTATAATGTGATTTATACGGCATTATTATATTAATATTATTATTACAATAAGAGACGCATTAATAAAAGTACACGATATTAATAACGTGATATTATTTTCTTTTGTGCTTACTGCTTAGGTTTAAAGGGTTTTAAAGGATTGAAGGATATTCGATTTGCTTCATATGCAGACAAAGACCGATGCTCGAATATAACGGAGTATAAAGTGAAATAAATTATATAAAAATGATCTTCTCTTAAAGGGAACAAAGAATAATTGAAAAAAAATCAATAAAACTATGGACTGAAAATAAGTAGTTACAGGTAATGAAATGTTACATGTTAATCTGTAGTGACCTATTTCCCAATTTATTATCTATATAAATGTATAATATTTTGTTTTTCAACTGGAGCGGAATATTTCAGTTTACCATCGTAATAAAATGTCGAGTTCAATGAACCGTCAACCGCCTGCTGTTCGTGGCATTTACATGTGTCTTTTTTTTTAATTGTCCAATCCAGGAAAAAAGCATACTTTACTTCACGGCACGTTATATTTTAATATTTTAATAACATTAAAAAAAAAAACCTGTCGTTTTAGATCGAAAATTATCCATTTAAACGACACCGTCTCTCGGCATAATATGCAATTCATATTACGGATCCGTCTGTTTAAACACAAATAATATTAAGTCGAAGACACGGAGGTGGAGGTCGTGTACAAATTACAAATGCCAGAGAAAAAAATATGAAATGACAGCAAACAATAACAAAGGGTTCGTTTCGCGTGTGGATATAATATCGACGTTCGCACTTATATATAATCGAACAGCCGCGTTGTATGAAAAAGAATAGCAGAGCGCGCGTGCGTGTAGGTACATATGAATGTGACAATCAGACTTGACAGAGTTGAACGTAGATGTATTTCAACATACATGGTGTCAGTGTCTTTCAAATTTGATCAAGATGGTTCTCACGAGATTCCCAACAATTTTATTAATTTATAAAACATACACATACAATAGCAAACGAAATATCGAGATAACTATAATATACAAATTCCTATTACATTGCATTTCTACAGGTATTAGCTGACTTACTACTCAAAATTTCGCAGTATTTTCGTATTTTCGTGGTGCAGCTGATTATGAATAAATCAATTCATAATGTAATATAAAATACGTTTTGCCGTCGCTGTAGAATAAAAACAAACAGTTACTAACTGCGGTTAAGTAATGACTAGGTAATGGCTATAATATTACTGTACAGTTATGATTTAAAAATGATAAAAAAAAAAGGTCACGGAGGGAGAATCGAATTCGCCCCCCGCCCCTTGACAGGCACACGATGACTTGGGTGAACACAATATTATGTCCTATATTATACCGAGGCGTACAATAATACAATAATTAATAACCAAAAATATTTAATTATATAATCATTGCAATATTATAATCGTAATATCAATTATTGTCTCTGCCGGGCGGCTTTTATTGTTTGTTTTTGTTTTCGTCCAAGCGACCGTCGCCGTCGTCGTCAGCTGTTCGCTCGTCCCGCGGACGGCAGCTGCTCGGCGCGCGGCTCGATCGATGCGTCGGGGGTGGAGGGCATAATACTCGCGCACGCGCGTTCTTCCGTTGCCGAAGCCGAGGAATTGGGTCACTCCGCGGCCACCATCGGCGCGCGCGTGAAAAACGGGACGCACAGCTCGGTCCGCAGGTCGCCCGGCGGTAATAGCCGCTGTGGCACAGTTATTGACACGCTGCGTGTGGACCGTATTATAATGTTTATTTTGCATAAAATGTAATTAATAACGGATAATATTTAAGAAGATAATATTATATCGATGCATTTTTCGTATTATCACATAAGAATACTATAGTATCGACGTATATTATATAATACGACCTGTTTTTAGGTAATACCGTATACAGTGTACACCTATAATACCCATAACCGGGTAATCGGGCTTAAACTAGGATGGCGGCTTACATGCAGTGAATTCGGTGCCTTGTTCGAAACAAATAGTTATACGCCTCCCCACCACGTCACTCGATCACCCCCGTGGGCTCTCGAATACAAATTAAACGCGTAGGACGAACATAGTTATATATATATATATATAATATCAGATATTAATACAACAATCAATATACCACCACTGAGTGGCAAGTTAAGAAATTAATACCAATATGTCATTAACACAATTATATAGTGTTCACCCGTTTGGCCGTCTACATAACTTATATAGTAATAATAATAATAATAATAGTTACTATAATTATTGTTATTACCTATATACTTTACAATTATTGTAATTTTTAAATCAGTGGGATATGTGTCGACTTTATATTATATTTTGTTTAAAAAACAAAGGATTTCTAAGGTGAGTTTTTTCGAAACTGTAATCTGTCGTTTGCTCTAATCCTCATTTACATCAACCCTATTATAATAATTTGTTAATATAATTAAATACTTACAGTTTAATACCATAATTTTGTAATATTTTTACCCTTAACTTCTACATCCCCAATGCTCCACTGACCGATTGACCTTCCAGTATCATAGATATTACGACAAAGAAAATAAGATTTGGACGTTTTGGTACTGCTATATTATATTTTTACTATTAAGGTTTTGCTAATTCAGAGCAATTCGCTTACATTAAAATCGTTGACAAATCATCAAAAATTATTTCACTAGATTATAAATTAATTTAATAGGTACCTATTACGTATGATTTGTGATAACTTATAGAAAATAATCGAGAACAATAATATTGTTTTTGAAATTTTCAATGGTAGATTCATAGGGCACATTGAAAATATTGTCCTACCAAACTAAGAGCTTAAATGTCATTTCTTCTTATTTAATTTAATTTTACTACACTACTGGTAGGTTATATTTAAAAGGGACCTTATCCAGCTCTTGTTGTAATCACTAATGTATACGACTGTTAAAAAACTATGTAAACGCATTGTGTTAGTAAGGGCCAAGAAGGAGTGAAAGAGAGTGATGTCTTTCACAACTTATTATCAAATGATTAAAAAATAAGATTAACATATATTTAATACATTTTGTGCAGTATATTGCCCACCCCACTCCTAAATTTAGTTCCGAAACCGCAACCGAAAAGTATTATTAATTAAAACATACAAGTCGAGCATTGTTGTAAGAGAAGTAAAGCCGTGTAGGTATGGGAACCACGAGCATAGTTCCGTCGACATTATGTTATATAATTATTATATTATAATCAGTTTGTGTTAACGGACGTGCTAAAATATTTTGTCGACAGTCGAAATGTTTTAATCTTGAAAAAAAGAGAAAACCCGTACGGAGACGACACAATTTTTGAGAAACACGATTGGAAAATTATAAACCGTCACGCGTTTGACAACAGTCATGGTTCAAGAACAATTAAAAATTATTACATAATTTATCAACGTACATTACATTTAGGTATAATACTATTATATTAATATACCTACATAATATTATATTATAATCGAGTTAATAGGTACTTGATCAGATGTGATGTGGTGGTAATAGGTACACACAAACAGGATGTCTAAATAAAATTAATATTTGTAGGCTCGATGGTGAGGAGGTTGTGGTATCAGTGATGATGGGGGTACCGGCAGACACTAATTCTTAAAAAAAAAAATGCTTACAGGTATACATATAGAAAATTTCAGGTTACCTATACTTGGCGCTCAAGTTCGTCAAAGTGTAACGAAAAATTAACATAATATATGTAAAGTGGAAATCGATAACGTTTCCGTGCTGAACGGTAGCGCACGCGAGTAAGCACCAGAATTGTTTATGTACCCGCAAGAGGCATTCTTCTTTAAAAAGATTCGACAAAAAAATATTATATCATTTCCTACGACATGATGATATTTATGTCGAAAACCGCATTAAATATTGCAACAATATAAAGGGTTCAGTTAAAAGGAATTGGGACCAAGGGAATGAACCAATTTTGGGCTATAATATACCCTATACTCTATATAGGTTATAGGTACTACCTATCTACATCCAAATTTGTGTTTATCTACTTATCAAAACATCTCTCACTAAATTTAAACTAAAGTAGAGGAATCGTTTTTAAATAACTTTAATAATACATAATGTATAGTTAATTCACGTTTCACACAGTTCCGTTTATTTGAAAACGTTAATATGTATAACTAACAGGTACAATGATCGTATAAACACCACTGGCGATAAAATAATCAAATAATCATCATTGCCTTTTGATTTATTGAACACTGAATTTAATTTATAAACATAAATACAACCGATGTATTAATATATTAAAAAAAAAACAATAATTAAAATATTTATAAGCGAATATGTGAAATATGGGGATCCCCAATAAGTTTTGAAGCCAAGTGCACGTGTACCCATGTGCCATTGCACTTACGTAAATCTGGGCCTGAACAATAAACGTACTTCGTCAGATTTACGAGGCCGTGTGCAGAATTCATACCGCGAGTTTGGTTATATTCGTTTTAATATGTTTTTTGTTGTTATTAATCACGTGTGGCGTCGATACTCCGAGTGACGACAATGGTTATGGTAATTAAACACTAGCGATTTATATTAATTTAGCTGTCGTCCGTTCATGTACGCGATTTAACGATTACGATTTAATTCCGTTCCATATTATATTATACAAGCGCACGTAACCACCGTCCACCACACTTGGCTCTGTCGCATCTGGTCCGATATCCACTCAGTGTCGTAAGTCCGTATTCGTTATCGTATACATCAACAATAATAATGATCTCAGCAATAATAATACTAATATTATTCTAAACACTTATTCGGTTACGTACGACCAAAACTCTCCGTCCGGGCGCTCGCTCCACGCGTGTACAAAACGGCAAAGCTGTGTGAATTTCTACACGCGCACACACGCTCGACCCGCAAGCACACACACACACACACATACACACACGCACTCTGCCGCCGTCGTGTCGTCACCGACGTAGCTGCCGCCGCCGTTCATTCTCCGGTCGACCACTGTCGGTGCTCGTTTGTGTTGCCGCATCACATTACTTTAGCCATCGGCTTCCGAAGATCGATTTCCGACGACGAATAACTTACTTACCAAATCACAGTGAGTATATTATGTACTGTTTTATAAGTACGATATTTATATCTACTTTGATTCAATATTATTATTAATGTAATTATATTTGTATATCGTACATTCGCGACTATACGTGCGAGTCGATCGTATTTTTAGTCGATCTGTAGGTATATGTAGAATACCTACTATAATATGATGATGATTGTTATAAGTTTCACATAGGTTTGAATAATTTTGTTTCTGGTTAATTGTATTGATTCGTTATTTTTGCTTTTGTAACTTTTTACTTCATCAGGGCTGCACTAGTCGTTTTCTAAAAGATCGTTAATACGATTTTGAATTTGGATTTCAGCACATTATAATAATTCGTGATATGTTATAATAGTGCCTGTGGTTGTATTACATAGTGTTGTCGTCTAATCGTGCTGCAGGGTTTTGAGGAAATCTATAAAGTTTCCCGCAGAATGTTTTCCAGGTCACCGTTTTTGGTTCAAGTTAAATTCGGTCTTGTGTCGTCGTAAACGATATTCGTTTTGGATTAAAAATCAATCCTTATGACGCCATTCACGTAATAGCTTTACTTCACATTAGGTATGTTAATTTTACTAGTTTGTTTGTATTTTCTAATCGAGTATTGTATAATAGGAATCGTGTGTCAATAATCGTTTAAGGAAAATAGTTTAAAACAATTACCGATCGTTAGTGACCGGTTAGTTGAATTAGCTAGAGTATAATATAGAAAGGACTTATTATGCAGTTGCTAACAAGTAATGTTACTTTCAGTTTAAATATCTTAATCACCGATTATGGTTTAATATATTGGTACAATAATATTATATATATATATACTTAATACTTATAATATAATTTGATTCTTGAGTGATATGATAATTTCCAAATATTTATATTCGATCGTTAAAGTTCTTCACTTCAATGACGATCTTATTGCAGGCCATACGTAGATATATACATTTTTTTTTCAATTATCTTAACTTCCTTATGATTTACAACAGTTATTTAACTGTGTTTTTTTGTTAATCATCAATTGTATTTAATTCGATGAATTCCTGGAATTTATGCTCTGTTGAGCAAAGGATTTCATTTCAATTTTTTTTATTTATCCGTGTATTGGTCTGCTCAAAGCAAAACATGTTTAAAGAAACTAAAAATATTTAAAAACTGTTAAGTATAATGAGTCCAACAAATAAAACTAAATTCATAGATTTACTATAAAAATAGTTTAATCCATAACTATATTAATTAGAATATAGATGAACACATCCATTTAAACGTGTGCATACAATTCTTTTAGAGGTTATAATATATTTCATTAAGTATTTACAAGGAAATGTCTTCAAAAGGGCCCAGATATTCATTCACATAAAACAATTTCAAATATCACACACATGTAGGTGCAGATTGCTTAAATACTTACATAAAATAAAGAAAAATAATTATTAAAAATATGTTGATATTGCTATTCATCCGTTATTTTTTAATCGTGGAACGTTTAATAGTTTCATGTACAATATGAGGTATGAAGGTATATATTATGCCGATTGATTGACTTTATTAAAATGTTAGTTATCAAAGTCAACGCAAAATAATTTACTATTTGCACTTGACATACAGTATTGAGTATTGTCTGTTATAAAATCCATACACAATGCAGATGAGCGTTTTTTTGTCATAATTATGTATTACACAATTTTATAGCCGACTTGTATGACTGTTATACATAAATAAAACACAGAAAAAATAATAAACACATACCTACATAAAGAGAAAAAAATATTGAAGTAAATTGCATAATTGTCTACAAAATATGCAATGATTTAAAATAATATTTAATATTTAAATATTTATCTAATAATAATTCAACTTTTAGCAGTGGAGTTTGATATTGGTTTCATGATTTTTTTTTAAATGAGCTATTCAACAATTTTGAACTTAAAAAAATGTGTTATCAAATACAAAAATAAATAAATAAATCACACTCAAATAATGCTTTGTAATCTGTAAGACTTTCCTTTTTTATCAATGTGTATAAGAGTATAACAAAGTATGTATGAAATAAAAACAGTTATAAAGCACAGAGTTTTATGTATCTCAGTCTGGAGAAATAGACATACAATAGTAAAATAGAAATAATGAATATAATGTTACGATATTTTATTTTCGCTAGTTCATATCGCTTACTGGTTTTTTTTATGGCCCGTACAACGTATGTTGCAAACATTGTCCCCGATATTTTTACAACTCGTCGATAAAACACTGCGAATCTCATATCCGAAGTTACTGCGTACTATTATTATATGTACGTAGGTACGCTTAATGTACATTGGGTCGCACAAAAGAAATGCTTATTTTACACGTACAGGTGACCTCCACGGCAATTAGAGGTGTGTAGTACACAAATATTATTTACGCATAGTTATACAAATATATATATAAATAATTATAGGCGCATTTTTTTTTATGGATGTCTTGCACAATACCCGTATAAGGTTATCTGAAAATAAAATGGTATAAGTTTTTGGACGTATAAAAACCACAACGTGAGGGTGTCATCTTATCACCTTGTTCCACATATTGTTTCGGGTAAAACAACGCGACGTTACACGACAGTAATCGGATAAGAAACTCGAAAAGACGTGCTGCGTGTTTTTCCATGGTACATATGACGCTGCAACACACACGATGGGTGGAAAGAAAATAATATTACATAAAAACAAACTGGTAACAAGTGTCAGATAACGAGCGGTACTAATTGGTACGAAACAACATATAACTATATACAATAATATTATCATTATGATGACATTATACCTACGTATTGTATTTGTAGGTGAATAATGCTGTACATACACGAACGCTGGATGAGTATAATTGTACGAACGATGTTTTCTGCTATATAATATAATACATATATATTGTGCTGTGTGACTAATATAACATTATATATCACTATTATAGGCGTGTATTATACAACACGCGGACGGTTACGGAAACGCGCGTTGAACTTTTGTCTTACAGACGACACAAAACAATTTGACACACGTGGTTCGAGTTTTCATGGTGCAATGCACCTAGAGCTATATGATATATCAGTAAATGACACGGAGGACTCGGGTCGCACGTGTGTAGGTGACAGGTGTTGTCGAAATGTTACCATCTACTCCCGAAACGCATTCTAGTTCGCCGCGAACACACAACCGTCAACCTCTGTATTGTACATATCATATTATATTGTGTATAGGTAACATATTATAGGTACTGTTATAATAATATAGGCACAGCCCGCCAGCACAACAATGAAAGTATATAAATCGGCTGTAAACATTACATAATATGCACAGTGACACACACGCCCGAATTTATAATAATCGTGTTAATCGTGTGCGTACCATGTATTGTAATTTTGCATTAGCCTTTTATCCGATTGATTTGATACGGTTTTAAGCGGACGGTCAACTGGACATAACAATTGTCAATTAATAATGCAACTTTTTAAATTGATATAATTACATAATATTATACCGTTTATGGTGAGATGGATAACCGCGACTCATGAGTCATGTTCTAAGGACGAGTATGTATAGGTTATATATATACCTACGTGTAATACTTAATGTTAACGCAACGCATTTCTTTTGTGCAAATACCGCTCATACCTAAAATATTTTCAGTGGTGTTTCCTCACTAGAAACAAAATAATATTAATAATAAACCGTTCTCAACCGGTGATTGTTGTATAAATTCTTAGTTTAATATTGTACAATTCATATATATTTTAATACCGTATTCGGTGCATTTTAACGTTTCATTACCTATTTATTTTATAAACATCAAAGGTACCTTGCTTCCTGAAAACAATAATTAATTTTTTTTATGTGTACCTGCCATTCTGATTGTTCGGTGATGCGTAGTGTTTTTGTTACGGCGGAGTAAAAAGCTTTCTCGTTGAACGAAGATTGTTCGTCGAATGGTCTTAATTATAATTTATCATATTATATTTTATGGCAAAGCTGGATTATTGTAATTATAACGCATGGATAGCACCCTTTTAATTGTTACAAACGTCAAAGTTGATTCAACTACTTACACTTTATAGCAGCATATTATTATATTATTATAACAGTTTATAGTATAGGTGTATAAAGTCGTCACAATTTAATTTAAGTATAATATAATTTTTTTTTCACTTCTATTATTATTGTAGTCATGTATAAATTATTTCAAATTCTGTGGCTGATTTTTTTTTTATTCGTATATATATAATAAAAATAAAATATATACTGAAAATAAAATGCAATTTAGTTGGAAGTATTTGGCTTTAAAAGCTTCAAAAAATCTCGTTCAGCGTGTAACGACTCCATGCTATTATTCAGAGTTTAACAATCGAATCACGCTCACGCATTTTGACATTTCAACATCCGTCTAAAACGTTTCATTGGAAGCTTTCGTAAACGCTCTGTAGCGTTATTTTTCACAGAGTGGTATACTTTGCGACGAAATCGAGGTGTCAAGATACACTTTTCAACTGTTTCGTATACAGAACATATACTATTATAGGATTAATAATAATATTTGCGAGAGACGCAGACGCGCAGTCTTTTTGGGCTTCGTCCAAAATAAAATATCCTCACGACAACCGCCGTAGTAGGAGTTAAAAGAAAAAAAAGGTCGTCAACCCCACAAAAAAAGAACACATCCATATCAAATATTATTATATACACACTTTCCATTGAAACAACGGCAGCAGTCTTTGTCTGGCAATAAGCCCGGATGCACTGTAAATAATAATAATCGTCCAGACACAATATTTAAAGATGCAGCGTACATTAAGTGGTTTTTTGTTTGGATATTTCGTTATAGATAACAGTATAATAACTAATCACTAATAAAAATAACTAAGAATTATAATATATAACGTAGGTACAGCGTCGTTTGTCGATGGCTGAGCACTCGATAACGGTTTAATCGTTATTCGTATATGTATATATACTCAAACTTTTAGTGTATTG